AGGGATATTTGGTGGAAAAATAATTCCTGCATCTTACGCTCAACCTGAAATCAAGCACACCCCCTTATTTCCGAAGTAGCTTCTTCTAAGCCGAAAAGCACTGAGCATCATTTTAGCAGCTAGAACCGGATACGGAGACTTTACTGCTTATCACACTCGTTTTAATCACGCCTAAGCCAGACTTACTTGCCTACGCGGGTCACCAAAGACCCCTACCCATTTTTTATTCTGCCGCATCCTCCACCGTCACCGCGGAGGACGCCCTGCTGGATCTATCAACCAACTTCTTCCGGATTCAATCGGCACATCGGAAGGGGCAATTTCTATGTCTAATTGGCTAGAAAATTCTAGGTTTTTCTAAGAAATCTGCCCACAGTGAGGGGCCGGCTCACCTTTTCTTTTGTTTTGATTGGGGGTTCCATGGACAGAGCGGGGGAGAGGGGCTGCTTGATTACCAGTCTTGAGTTAGTGGAGGTCTCTAATTGTCGGAACACTACCAATGGTCAATTCACAAGCTTGTGTGGGGCTACTCAATTCATTCCTATTTCTTCTCTCTATGGGAGGAATTCTATAAATACATTGTTGTCTTTATCTAAACGCTATTCCCTATAAGGAAAGGTCTCAACTCGAACCTTGTACATAACATATTATGAGCCAGTTCACACATTAATCTTTTTTTCCTTTGGCTCAAGCTTATCCATCATTTTCTGTGCGCAATTTCGCATAACGCGGCATAGCTCTGTATTCTAGACTTTTAGTAGTCCCATGGTGTCTAGAGCTCCTACTCTAGCGTCCTTTGCCCATCAGAGGGATAAAAGTGCACGTGCCTAGAGGCTACGCGCAGTGATAGACTTTAAATAATATCATCATCATCACCCAAAAAATGGAGATAAATACGAGTGAATGATATTCTTGTTATTGAGTTACCTCAAACAAAGAATCCATAGGAATTATTCCGACAGAATGTTTTGCCTCCCTTGATGACTGGAAATGCCGACCTCGTGTATTAACGTACTCAAGGAAAGAGATGCCACTGAAATATACCCAAATCCGGCATTTCAGGATGATGAAGCAAGGAATAGCAGATAATTTATTCTTTATTGTAAGAGCGGTCAGTACTGCTCCAATACAAGTGATTAACGTATAGAATGCTACTTCCGGAGCTAACAATCCAGGCGCCGAAGTTGGTTTCCTTTCTGTGATATAAATGTAATATATGTCGAGATCAATTTAGCTAGATATTTTAATGTTGAGAGCCATGTGACATATCTGCGTTTTTATCACGTGACTCGATTAGTATTTCATGCTATCTCTTATTGTAGAGCATGTGTAAGATAATGATAATTACTAAAATAACAAAAACGCTTGAATCTTGAAGCTTCTTACAGGGGCATATACACCCACCAGCAGTAGGGTATTAGATCACGAATGCTCAATCTTTCCTCTCGACATCTACCTCAAGCAAAGGAGGGCTCAACACATCGGACTTTCTGAAGGATAGCCTACCAAGCAGACAATACTATCCGCATAGGATAAAATATCGCAAGCTGATTGCCGGGGCGAAATTACCCACACCAGGAATCGAAGCCGAGATATTACCGAGTGGACCGAAATCTGTATTAAAGAAAAGCCGAAGTAAAGACCAAAAGAAGCTGGTAAGATGGTAGCATTCTAGGAGTGGGATAGCATATTGAAACTTTTCAAGAAAGAGCGACTTTCTTCTAGTCGGGCGTCGGGAGACCGTGAACATCGGAAAGCGGCAAACATCATCACCGACAGAAACACACACTCTAGCATCCACCGAAACCTTTACAGAGCCTACAGTGTTATCACAATACAGATGAGAAGTGAGCATATTGACCTCAACTCTCATCTACATAGAGGATAGGTCGCTCGAGTGGCAATTCCAAAATGCTAGTGTGGATATCCGTCACAAAACGTCAAAAATATGGGTTTGTGTGACGAAACCAAGCTGTTGTAGTGTACTTTTAGAAAGATTAAACTGTAAGAAGAGTGAAGTACCACAACTACGGGTTATGACTACTTGTACATCCTTCTAGCTCATCCAGTACGTACTCCGTTGGTGAGAGTGACATCTTGCTCCGCCACTGCCCGTCGTCATCTTTGCCATCTAGCTGACTCTCTCACTTGGCAATTCTACTTCGCAATCTCACATTCCTTCCTAGTGTCACAGTTCGAGATATAGATGCTGGAGCGATCAAATATACGAAGGTTGTTTATTATTTTCTATACCACAATATGTTTGTCCTAACTCAACTATTTATACACTTATTAGGCTATCTAGAATATTCCTTCCTGTCTGATACTAGCTTCTGTTATGTTCCCCTGATACCAGTTCACAGTCTCACTGCCAGTTGCTAGAATCTTCTAGTCATGTTCAGAATAAACTAGAGTGAAGTTTCGCCTTTCACAGAATAATCGAGGCAGGTGATTGACATCACGTGATACGGGACAATTATCGGCTCACTAGCCTTTACACCTAGCTCCAATGTAATGTGGCCAAGTATTGTAAAGGTAAGAGCTTACGGAGGTTAATTGGCAGAAGGTTTACGGATGATTATCGATGAATAAATATGAACTGCTGATATATTTGATATTCAAAACTATGAGGATTCAGGAGGTAGAAAGCGCTAATTATGTACACATCTGAGGTAGCTAGACTCTCGCCTTATTTACCCAAAATAGTATCACGGAATATTCTAGTCTCCTCTATCTGGCAGTACAATCTAGAAACACTTTCTATACAGTGCTCCTTGTTCCTCTACTCATCATGGAGCCACCTGGAAAGTTCTTCCTTCACCCTCAGTGATCATTACCCTAGTGCATTGTAACCCTAGCCATTACCAGCACAACACCAAGTGAAACTTTGCCGCTTGATACAAGATAATATGTTACACTCTCCCTAATACGCCCCCAAACTCCGCTTAGGTCTCCACCTAAGCTAAACCACGGTTAAACCGTAACAGTTTGGCTTGTCCTCGGTGGGCTGGGGGAAGAAAGGTGCTGTGACAGGCGAAAGATAGGTCTTTTGAAGCTACGACAAATAACCCAGATGATATGAAGAGAATTACAGAGTGGATACTGTCGTAATATCTCCTATGGATTCTTTGTTTGAGGTGACTCAATAACAATTGTCTCATTCATTCGTACCTATCTTCATATGTGAAGGAGCGCCAGCGCCTTAATGACCTTGAACACTCGTCACATGATAGATGCTTACACAGCTATTACTAATTATTACTCATTTGCTGTTACATGTTCATAATCATTATTAACGCCCAAATTCCTGAAAGGATAGTGAAACCCCTCAGAGGTATTCAAAGAAAATGCTTAAAGCTTGTTGCAGGTGCCTACAATTCTACTAGCAGCAGAGTGCTAGAACACGAATTGTCCGTCCTCCCTGTAGAGATATACCTGAAACAAAGGAGGGTCCAGCACGCCGGGCTATCAGATAAACTCCCAGTTCAAGAGACAATCCGATCGACATGTAAGAGGATAAAGCTGCCCGCAAACGGGACAGAAACCCCGCATGCGTTGAACAATAGTAAAGATATAGCGGAGTGGACAAGAACTTGCGGAAGGGACAAGGATAAGAGAAGGCAGAAAGAAGCTGGAAAGATAGCGGCCTTTCAGGAATGGAAAGATTCATGGACAAGCCAGATCAGGAAACACCGCCCTGGCCGACCAGCATCAGCCGATCCAGAACATTGGAAAGCGGCAAATATATTTACTGATAAAAAAACAGGCAGCGTCAAAATGAACTTCAAAGATACACCCTTAAGAATCCACCGTAACCTAACCAGGGCCCAAAGCAGTGTCGCCATTCAGCTAAGGAGCGAGCATATCGGACTCAATTCTTACCTGAGCAGAAGAAAAGTACCTGGAGTAGAAAATCCAAGCTGTCAATGTGGATATCCGTCGCAAAACGTCAAGCATATGGTGTTGGCGTGTCCGCAGTGGGCAAATGGAAGAGGCGACTTTCTCCGACAAGCTAAAGACAGGTCATTTGAAGCAATGATGAACAGCCCAGAAGACATGGCCAGAATTACACAGTGGATACTAAACAAAGGGTGGATAAAACAGTTTCGACTTGCAGGGGAAGTCGAGTTAGCAATGTCGGATAAAGTAAATAGATCTGGAAGGGGAGAGGACGGAATCCACACGGACTGAACAGTGTATACTGCACTTCCTGAAGGTAAACCAAATATATTGATAGGAACATAAAAATACAGGATCAGGGGGTTTTCACCAAATTGGTTTCCTCCTTTATAAATAATGCAGATAGTCACCTGCATGGACCCATAGGGTGCCTGATCGGGTTAATTAAAATCAAAATTAAATTCAACGCCCAAACTCCAGCATCCTTGCTTAATGCACATCCAAGTAAAACTTGTGTCCTATTATTCGACAAATTCTTACTAACAGCTGGCTTGAACGGTTGCAGCTTACAGAAGAAGTTAAGATAGCAACCAATGAAAAGATGAAGCGATCGGGAAAAGAATTGTACGAAATTCGCACTAGATAAACAGTTTAAACGCACTTTACAGCAGAAAACCTAGGAGTCTTATAGCCATAAGAAAGGTAGATTCAGAGGGTTTTCACCGTATTGGTTTCCTCTCATGTAAATACTATTGCTATATGTACTTGCATGGGCCCATAGGGTATCTGAACGGGCTAAATGAAATAAAATTCCTAGACAACAATAACAATAATTATAAGCGCAATCTTAGCGTTAAGAAATTCATTTCGAGAGCAAGTATCCACAAGCAGCTGAATTAATAGCTGGTATGAAGTACACTCTCAATTCCAATATGGCACAAATTTTCAACATTTATTTTTCGGTCTGTAGTTTGAAATGACCTACATCTCCAGTGGTATTGCAGACTGAGAGTGGAAAGAATTAGGAACGAAGTAGCTACCGAATTTAGATTATCTACATTACTTCCTGACACGTGCGCCTGAATTGCGTGACCTAGTTGTTAGCCCTCAATGGGATTGTAGTAGACAGGGCCTAGGGTTACTCTTATATGGCTCACATTTATAGTCTCATGAGCTCCTATACACCGTCCAAAACTACGACGTTTCTTGCTCCTCGCAAGAGAATAATAAACGCCGGTTAACTCATTTGATTTATTTAATCCTGACAAGAAATACACTTGATCTGTTCTCTTTCCCATACCTGAATTAATTAGTAACAGCAGCATAGGGGAAAGTAAAATCAGACTTGCGAATAGATTCTCTGGAACTCGAAGTGGCCACAACCATATATGTCCTTCTAATGTTTTCTGGGGAAATGGCAAATCTTTTCTTTCTTTCTTTTTATTTTTCAATTCCTTTGATCTTTTGTTAACTTCCGATAAATTAATTTTAAAGTAATCCTTAGCTGCTCTCAAGTTGTCCCTAATCATTCTACTATCAAGGAGTATACCGTGGCACTTAAATTTGTTCGACTCTCTGAGTAGACTTCCATCATAGTCATCTACATCCTGATAGCTAAAGTGATCATCGGAATCGTGTTGGGGGGATTTTAAAATTTTTGCATTCGTACAATGTTTATAATTGTGACTGTCGCCCTCATCCTCACTGTCACTGTAAAGCATTCCTCGCAATTTTCATTTATTATCAACAACGAGAAAGGTATCAATGCGTAAACCTATCCAATGACTGTTAGATCTAAACGAGATAGTTTGAATGGTCTCTGGCAATATACCCTTTCTGGTAGATTTTCTTAAACCAGGTGTCGGGACAATCATAAGATCATTGGAAGCAAACAATCCCCTGGGCGCGATCTTCCAAGTCGACGAGTGCATGAATTTATTGCTACAAGCTCGGTTTGTAGCATCCATGATAAATTCTTTCGTGACCATAACCTGATCACCGCACTTAACTCTATCAAGCTCATCTTTCATCTCGGAGATATCTAGAATCGAGCTAGGCTGGCTTGCAACGTCATCATATTGGTGGCACACAGTCACTGCCTCTCCATCAATTTTGAATCTTGGAGATTTTACAATGACAAGAGCGACGAGTTCGCACAAATGCGTAAAGACTACTCGATTATAGCCAGTAGGTCCTGCGCACAAAGTTAATCCATGCAAGCGCTTCATGACCACAAAGGAATTTGTGGCAGATGTCTCAAAGTTTTACCAGATCGAAATTTTTTTGAACCCAAATACACAGGCCATGAAAAAAGCACCCGATCACTATATTCAGGAAACAAGTAAGACTCTTCAAAGAAAGAAGGATATATGTTAAACTCTGGTGAATATTTTAGCCCTATGCAGGCATCTTTCATGTGTAAATTCACGTCTTTCCTTAAAAATATATAGTTTTCGCAATTAAAATCAAATCCATGAGCTCCTATTTCTCTTGTCCGCAACACTGGCGTTGATGCCAATACTGAGGAAACGTGTATGAGTAGTGCGATTGAAGTTGTTAGTAAAGCTGATGGACTCAACATTATTGACCGAGAAATGTCAGATTCGCATGTCCAGTATTGACACTGAGAGGGTGATTGGGTTATGATAATCTTATGATACAGGGAAAATGTTGAAGCCTCTAGCTCTATAGACACTTGCGATACAAGGTTTGCACGAGAATCGAAATGAATGCCCATGGGAATCTGTCAAAAGAATCTTACCATGTTATAGGCATATTGCTATTCATACCGTAGGCCAAGCGCATCCACATGTAATTTAAGATTTTCAATTTGGTGCCTGTCATAGCCGCTATATAGCATTTTGATATTATCAGCCCCATTAAAAATCCAAATTGGGAGGAAAGTTTGATTAAACTGTTAATCCAGGATATATGGTGAAGGCAGGTAATTATTCTTTGCTCAATCGAATGAGAGGCTCCGGAACGCTTTTTCCACTCTATTTTCTAGTCATTGTGTATGGATTAGCCAGCACGCAGAATACTTGGTGCGGATGCCAAATTGAATTTGCTTTACTCAAGTTGCTCTAGATAGATACCTTTAGGATATTATTGAAATTTCCAACTTGTTCGGACGATAGAATACCAGAGTCAATGACTTTCCGACCACGCCCCTGCCTCATTGAGCTGATCCGTAACGTGAAATCTTACTAGAGGTTTTATTTTATCCCTGCCTCGTGTCTTTCACCATCTCGATGAAGCCTGCTTTGAGCTGCGAAGCCGATGGAAGGCCTAGACGTATGAAATTTCACGAAGATGATATTTAGGGATGAGTTGAGTTCACTAACAAGATTGGGTTTAAGTAGATAAAAGTTGAGGCCTATTCTCCTCCACATTCTTATAGTTTATGCAATTAGGCCGAACTTTTAGCCACATTGAAGGGGCATTAGCCGGCAGATACTGTAAGCCGTGACCCATAAGTGAATAAATATTCCATCTAATTTTGCAAGAATTACGTTATCCAGGATTTTCTTCGCAGTGAATTTGTCGCTACATAAACTCAGATAGGAGTGATATTAATTCATTTTATTGTCCTGTCTGCGTCTATGAATATGTAGGACATGCAGGTCCTCTCTGCCTACAGGCCAAGGATACCTATACCAGTAGTATATCCCCTCCTATGCCTCCCATACAGCTCCCCTCAAACAGTACCACCTCTCACAAGTCCTCATTCGATCATACACTAAGAGGAGCCCTTAACCCTTCATTATCTCCCCTCTCCAGCCAACGAAACGATGGCCATTTGCGGGTGTATGGCAGCCGGGAAAATTCGCAAAAACCACTGGGTGCGGGGCTCTTCTAATACCGACATTAGGAATAAATACGAAGACATATTGCCCCTTCTGAAGCGTTCGAAGAGGCCGGCCAGCTGGGCGCTGCAGACTTGTGGGTACCTCGGAGAATTCACCCTCTGCCTTTCTACCCTCCTTCCAACTCCTTCCCGAAGGTCATGCTGAAATGTCAGAAAAGTCTTGACAGAGCGTGATTGCTGTATAGTAACTTAGCCTAGCTTCTTTTGTGCCGTCCAGGGCGCTGGGGAGTGCCGTTGACTCGTCGACAAAAGAAGTCCTCTTGGCTAATTAGCCGGAATCTTGGTCTTGGCGCCCACAAAAAAATACAAAGTTGAAAACTCCTCGAAGATATCGGTCTCAGATGCTCTTCAGAGACCTATTCCCCCTCTCGCTCTATATCTCAGGCGCCTGTTCTTCCTCAAGTTGTTTGTCCCATTAGAGCAATAGTCCCCACAAAGTCAAGACCTAGGCTTTGTATTTGTCGACTTGATTTCCTCCTTGCGGGTATACGTAGCGTCGTAAATTTTTAGTGAGTGATGGCCGGTAATAAATGAGGCAAGCTCCTGTTTGCAATTGGGGTAACGCGTTTATCGGTCGTCGAGGCGAGATGATGTGTGGTTAGAAAGAGGTTGGGGACTCAGAAGATTATGATGGGTGCTGCATGATTGAGAAGTCGTCAAATGGAGATATGCATGTGTTTGCTTTCGATTTCAATTTGGATGCGATTCTTCTTGGCTATCCCAGATACGCAGAGCATACTGAGCGATAACACCGGCACCACTAGAAGGTGAAGAATTCGTCTTTGCCGGCTAAGATAGGAGTAGTTAGTGTGGCATTAATGTCGTCTAGGCAATTTTTAGATCAGATTTATATCACAGTCCGGAATGAGTCTGACACTGAGGGGAGCTTTGAGACTCCGACGACTCTAGTCACGTTTAATATTTAATTGATAATTGCCAAACTGTATATTCATTGCTATTGAGAGTACCATACAGGTGAAAAGAAGGTCAGAAACTTAATATTTGTTGAGTAATAGAGAAATTATAGAATTAATACATATTAGTGTAATTCAGGGTTATTGCTTCGAACTTGTAGTGTTTGTATATATATATTAATTGGCGAGCGAAGTATTTGGAACTATGCGCACGCCTGTAATGGATAGATCAGATTTATCACGACTATGTACATGATACTCAATCTAATTGAGTGATCAGGCCACTTCGGATTTCACCCACACGTTGAGTCATGTCAAGTTCGACCGTCCGAGGAGCCCGAGTTGAGCGCGCTGAAGCGCTGATACCTCCCCAGACGCAGCCGACACTAAAATACTGCCAAGGATGTTAATTTTTTGCATCAAATATGAATTGCGTATGCAGCCATCTAACTATGACACAATGTCAAAGAAATGTACAGAATAGTTGACTCAATACAAAGAAAGAGCACTCATGCCACGGATTTCATTTGCAAGTACCACTGCAAAGTTATGGCGGCTTTTTCTTCACCCCAAGTTAACCCTCATCCGTGAATACCTACCCAGGGGAAACGTCTCAAAAACTGTGAGCTATCCAGACATGCCTCCGTCATCCATCAACTTTTCTCCACGCAGAATATGATCTTAGGTGTCTCCTTCCCAGGTGGAGTAGGTGCTCAGGCTACTCCAACCATACCGGAGAACACCACCAGGAGGCAGACCACAACACTTTCCATCGTCGGCTTGTTTTTATAGTGTGAGCTGCACTCTCGCAAGCGAAGTCTTGGCGCGCACAAAGCCCAATTAGTAAAACTCTTTGCCAAAATTCGAAACTTCACGCCCGACGAAAACGTATCCCTTTTCTGCATCATCTCGTAATCTTGTCCTGATCCCTCTCACGTCCATCCCAAAGAACTGTCTCCCAGTATTCAGCCTTTGCCCTCCCTGAATAGCATATACATCTTTTAACATTTCTATCTTGATGTCGACCCGTACAAAAATACCGTATAATAGTAACTCATATTGATACTCGGGATTGCGATGGATAGCAGAGATTGATGGTGTTTATGACAGTGCGGGGTCTGGTAATTAGTGACAGGGATAGGACACGTGTATATATATATCGCGCACCTGACTCCTCCTTAGTGTGGAGATGCTTCCAACTACATTCACAATGCCCATACCTACTCTGGGCTAATCACCCTTTACTATATCGGTCCTATCTTCTAATTAATGCCCTTTTCGCCCTTTTATCCTAAATGACAGGACATGATATTCTTCGTCTTGCTGGCCATCATCAAGCTCAGAGTTATGGACAGATTAAATCTTTAACAATATCTATTACACGTGAGAAAAAAGACGACCGGCTCGAATACAGCAATGCTCAATCACTTTTCTCGCGGTGTCTGTGTAATAAACACATGCTTTGATAAGCAAAGAATTTCGCATTTTCTTTTGACCAACAATCACGGAGGCGAGTTGACTGAACTTCTTGAATGTAAACCATCTATGGCAGTATATGAAATGAAATTCGAAGTGTAGCATTCCCGAGGCCAAAAGAGTCACTTTACATGTGTAAAAGACACAGATATTATTTCATAGCTCTATACCTGAAGACTCATTGAATAATTAAAAAACATCCCTGATTTAGTGACTACTTTTCGCCCTTTCATTTTCCTTCTTTCCGTCCCAGTTTTATCTCATCACAGATACTCCTGATCTTATTCAGGGATTAATCTCTCTAGCGGGCAGCTAATTCGATTTATATCCCTTTTGTATCCCAACATAGCGTCTCCTTATTACACCTGGTGTTCTTTTCAACTTAAATTGTTTAAACCACTTTCTAGACTCCTGCTTTACCCTGTTACTATCGTACTTACTGCAGAACCAATTGATCATGGTAGACACTAAAACAAGTTCCAAGGTTGGAGAGCAAAGACTGACACCCATCTACTGAGTCCTCTATGAACCTGTGAGTCAATTATTCTCCCTAAGGTAATGTCTAGACGTCCCCCAACGGTCGAATCGACTCTTATCCTGACCGAGGGTCTTGTCAGAAGGAGTAATGCTGGGCTGATTATGGCCAGAACTCCCGGGTTGCAGAGACTTCTCGACTACATAAATCACGAAGAAAATTATCAAGACCATTCAAGGCAATACCAGCTTAAGCTTATTATCGCACTATTCCTTGATTCGCCTAACAATTTTTGAAGTCCCCATTTCATGCTCAAAAAAGCTACAACATAATACACTACCTTTTCTTCCAACACTATTGTCGACGGGGAAGTATCAGAGGATGCCAAGCTTGGGTCACTAAGCAAGATTTCCTATGAAGAATCAAAGCCTATGAGTGAAGTCAAGAGAGATACTGGGCCGTAGGAGTTTTAGAAGTGATTAAAATGAAGGACTCAAGATTGGGAAGGAATCAGCCGGAGGGTTGACAGGTAGCCAATCCTTCAAATCCATTATAAATATCCGAGGCGCTGAGCAGTAGCTAGGCTTGGTTTCAATTTGCTCTGCACTTTTGGTGCGTTGATACGTCGGATCGCCTTTAGATACTGAGCTAACTGCCACCTGGCCCGGCAGTCTAGTGTTATGCGCCGATACGACATTAAGTAATTTAAAAAAATTCTTCATGAATGACATCATCATCACAATATCCCAACACACATTCATAATTACCATCTCGAATTAGAGTTCAATCGAACACCAAATCTTAGGCGGTGCAATGGCTTCTGCCAGCGCATCGTCCCCTGTTGGAAATTTTGACTCTCGAATTTAAGACCCAAACATTATCTGTTTAGTCTCAGGTTACCGACAAGATCAACTCTATCTACACATGTCCCGAGTGCGCTAATCGCG